TATGTTATATATTATTACAATAACACTTTTAAATTGTGATGAACATTTTCAATGTTTCTTATGCATTGCTTCTTTTTAGATAAAACAGTTATCATTAATTTGCAGTAAAAATCCAGCTGATACAATTAAAAATATTTTGCTCTTGTAAGTAATTAGCAAAAGTTTGAATTTTAACATTTATGATTGACAGTACAGCATTTACCATCTTTTTTATATATATAGACTGCCAACAGACACTATTTTGTCAGAATACAGAATTAATGGTCTAAAGAAGAAAAAAAAGTTTAAAGAGTTGACAAGTTCATGTAATTTTTAATATTTTTGGCTATGGAACATGACATGTATTTAAGTATATTTTATTTTATGATCTTTATGAAATATGTGTTGTTGTTTTTATTAGAAGCTGCTTTAAAGTCAAATAAAAACTTAACCAAAATGGATACCATCCAACTTATTGGGAGAGTAATTAGGCATTCTTCTGACCAATTAAAGAGAACATCTACTAATATGGATATCGATCAATGATGACTTAATTAGCTGTTGCATTTTTTAGTTATTTTCCATTTTTCCGCAACTTTTTTCTATTTATAATGATCGATTATATTCTACAGTACTTATTAGTTTTTAATTTGGAAAGTGTAACTTTGTTTGAAAAATTATTCTTATTTTTTGTAAAGTTATTAATTTATTTTAAATATATCAAATTACACTCTATTTACTTTGATTTCTTTTTATAACTTCCCTTGCCTAGATTAAGGCAAATCTAAGGTGTGTGTTGTAAATCATTGCATTTTTATATAACTTTTAAAAGAATGTCTTGGTAAAATTCAGATGTCTCTAGGACGTCTGAATAAGACGTCCTTAAGTCTTTCATATGAGACCAGATAGAGACGTCTTTAGAACGTGTGCGGAAAACGTCTCTAGGACGATTTTAAAACGTCTAGAATAGACGTCTCCAAGTCTTTCATTTGAGACCAACTAAGGACGTTTTACGGACGAGACTTGAGACGTCTTTTGGACGTCCTTAGGACGTCAAAATGCCCGCTGGGTCACTTTACAAATAAACATAATTTACACAAAATTTTTGAATTGATTAAAACACTAATGAATTGCTCCTATGCCCAATATAACTTACACTAAATTGTCCCATATCAATTACACTAGTGTTATCTTTTGAATTTAGAAATAGAAGTTATTAAATGTTGGTGGCTCATCATGCAGTGCATTTGAGAAGAGCATGCTTTCAAAGTAAGTCTCGTTTTACTATAAAAAGAGTATTTCTAATACCGCAATTATATTGCATACTTGATATACATAAATAAATACGCTGGTCACAACAATCCAGTCAAAAATTTCTTTTAAAAAATAAATTTAGTGTTGAGAAATTCGTATTTTTTGATGTTTGATGTTATGTTTATAAAATAATTATATATGTGTGTATGTGTGTGTGTATTATTTATTTCTTTCCCCTTTATTTTTACATACTTATCTTGACAATATTTTTTTAAGGTTAAGACTGCTTCCCTGATTCCTACAGAAAAAAAAACTTTAAAATGGTGGTGGCAATATTTTTAAGAGTGCATCTGATCGAAAAGAAGGTGAATGACGTCAACTGTTCGAAAATTTGATTTTTGGAAATTAACAAGTTGAAGAAGATGTTTACAAAATTGTGATTTATAAAACTTAGCACAATTATATTAAAAAATTAAAATGATTTATTATTTTTTTCTTATTCTCAAGAATTTCTGTGAAAACATAAATTTGAACCTTACGTTTAAGTAAAGCCATGTAAAAACACGTATTTTAGACGTCGAAATGAGAACGTCTAAATTAGGTTATATAAAAAGACGTCATTCGGCGTTTCCATTTAGCACTAGTTCTGAACGTCCTAAATTCACGTCTTTTTGACATCTAAAAACACGTCTTTATTCCGTCCTAAAAAGACGTCCTAGTTACGTCTAAAAAAGACGTCATCTGGCGTTGCCAATTAGAACCAGTTCTGGACGTCCTAAAAAGACGTCCTTTTGACGTATTATGGACGTTGCTGTGCCCGCTGGGTTGTATAATTTACTCGATTTATTTCATTTTTATTGATTGACAGTTTTGGCTACTTTAACGGAAGATTAGTTGATTGTCTGATTTTATGGAAGAGAATAAAACTTGTTTTTTTACAATTCAATAATAACTTATTACCCAGCGGGCATTTTGACGTCCGTAAGACATATTAAGTCTCGTCCGTAAGACGTCCTTAGTTAGTCTCAAATGAAAGACTTCAGGACGTCTATTCCAGACGTCCTAAAGATGTCTTTTCAAGAGTCCTAGAGACGTTTTTTGCAGACGTTCTAGAGACGTCTTTGGCTGGTTTCATGTGAAAGACTTAAGGACGTCTTATTCAGACGTCCTAGAGACGTTTGAATTTTACCAAGACATTTTTTTACCAAGAATTTTACCAAGACATTCTTTATATAAAAATGCAATGATCTACAACACACACCTTAGATTTGCTTTAATCTAGACAAGGGAAGTTATAAAAAGAAATCAATGTAAATAAAGTGTTATTTGATATATTTAAAATAAATTAATAACCAACAAAACAAAAAATAAGAATAATTTTTCAAACATAGTTACATTTTCAAAATTACAAACTAATAGGTACTGTAGAATATAATCGACAGTGCATTAAAAATAGAAGAAAACTGCTTAAAAATGGAAAAAAAATAAAAAAAACAAAACATTTAATTAAGCCATCATTGATCGAAATCCATATTAGTGGATGTTCTCTTTATTCGGTAAGAAGAATGCCTAATTACTCTCCCAATAAGTTGGATGGCATCCATATTTGTTAAGATTTTATTTGACTTTAAAGCAGCTTCTAATAAAAACAACAACACGTGTTTCAATAAGATCCTAAAATAAAATATACATGTCATGTATACATACACTTGAATAAATGTCATGTTCCATAGCCAAAGAAATTAAAAAAATCTCTTTTTTAAAATTAAAACATTATTTTTAATTTATCAAACACATTAATAAGCTAATAAGAACACCAGTGACAGCGTTACATAGACTTGTCAACTCTTTACACTTTTTTTTCTTGTTTAGACAATTCATGCTGTATTCTGACAAAATAGTGTCTGTTGGCATTCTGCGTATTTAAAAAAGAACATAAATGCTGTACTATCAATTCATTAAGGTTAAAATTCAAACTTTTGCTTATTACTTACAAGAACAAAATATTTTTTAATGTATCAGCTAGATTTTTACCGCCAATTAATGATAACTGTTTTACCTAAAAAGAAACAATGTATAAGGAACATTGAAAATGTTTCTGACAATTTAAAAAATGTTGTAATAATATGTAACATAAACTATAAAGATGAAACTCATGTATACAAAAGTGATGTACTGGATATCTCCATTTGCGATTTTTTTTTTAAAAACATTAAGTTTATCTGAACTTTTACGTTGTTTAAAACCTTCTTCTGGATTATTAGAGAACAGTCCAGTTCT